TCATTAATAATGGCCTATCATCTATAGATTAACCAGAAGAATACTCTGCTTCAAAATTTAGCTCAGACTATCTGAATAGTTGGAGCATACCTTCTTTATACAGACCTTAGATACTCAGAATACTCCCAAAATACAGAATGTTCTTTTAAATTCCAGTGGAATTATGGAAGGGGAAACCCAACACAGGACTTTAATGGGACCTATCACACCTGTAAGCTCACAGAAAGCAGCTGTCTTCCAAAGGTTCAACGGAAGGAGAATTGGGAAATATGAAATTCTTAAACTTGCTGCTTCATCCAAATGACATAATTTATGAGCAAGGACTACCTAAGTTGTTGTATTATTATGTATTTTGGGGGGCAGTGGGAGACAGGTTTGAAACTGTGTCTCAATAAATGCCAACTCTACAGTATCTTTTGAAAGGATTTGAGGTAGGTACAGACTTCCAAATCACTGCTCTTACCATTCCCATGTCTTGTTTCTATAATATGTTATGAAGGAGCTAAGCCTTGCTTATTTTGGTTCAGTTGATGATACAGGGAATTTGTCAGATATTAATCTAAGATTCACAGCCTTATCATTGCATTGAGAGCTATCTGCTAGACTATGTTAGACCTTCCTGCTCCTGTCTGAGTTCTGAGACAATCTTTAAAATGAAAAATAGGGGGTCTCCTTTTATTTTGAGCTTATCAGGATTTGACCATAGGAGGTGTTCAGATGGTGGTGACCCTTTGCTTTACACTTGGAAATATCTGAAAGCCTTATGTACCCAGTGTCCTCTGCTTGAGATTGCTTCTCCTCTATCAGCTCTTCAGAAATCTCATGGTTCTCCGCTGGATTCAACTTCAAGGTTTGCCTTACAAATAGCAGCCTATAAAGCAGCAGGCCCTGATGAGAAAAACAAAAGGCAATTTGTTTGGCAAGAGGTTCTCTCCACTGAGCATGAAAATAAGGGAATGAAACTGCTCTTAAAGATTCATGTGGCCTGAAGAGAAGGTGACCCTCAGATTGCTTGCTAGCAACAGAGCATAGTGTGTAACTTAGCTTTGTGGATACTTTTTGGCAGTTTTACTTATTTCTTTTTTTCTTTGCAGTAGAGTTGTATTCTCACATCTAGCACTTCTCAGTATTACCATCACAGAGAGTCATTACCACTATCCAAATGCCTGCTCCCTGTGGTGAGAAAAGACAATTTCTTAAATTCCCAGCTGCTCAGAAGGAGACTGATAGAAACAGATCTTATAGCACAAAAACTTGCACTTGAAACCTGTATGTTCATGTTGGCTAATGTCACCCCAATCACTTTAATAAATAAAACATCCAAATCCTTTTTTAAAAAATGATTTCATTTTTTTAAAATTGTGGAGATGGTGAAGGAAAGATTTCCATTATTTGATGTAGCTGTCCACTTCCTCCTTCTTCATTTGACTCCTGAGATAATTCATTCTTCTGGCCTTTCTCTACTTTTCTGGTCATACTTTTTTAATCATTGTGGATAGACAATTTTAATAACAATGACTTCTACATGTTTTGGGGAGGGGTTAGGAGTGGTCCATAGGACTGCTCTTATTAACTGAAATTCACTCTTAGCTTTAAGTATCCTACCTAATAAAAGAGTAATATGCAAATTAGCCATCACTCCACCACACCCATCAGCCAATCAGAGCAAGTATGCAAATAAATCCAACCAAGAAGGCTATAGTCACAGAGAGCAGGAGGGAGGCTTGGATTTCCCAGGCAACAGAGGAATCCAAGCTTTCTGCCTGCCCTTGCTGGCCTAGACCTCCACTGAAGGATACAAAACTAGTCTACAAAGTTTCAATGATAGAAGGTAAACAAATCCAAACAGAAATGTTTGCAGTCATGGAGCTGGAAAGAGCAGGAGGCTAGGGTTGCCCCGGCAATGGAAGAAGCAAAGCTTTCCACACACTCTGGTTGGCCCAGGCCTCCGCTTAAGGCTACAAAGTTTCAATTATAGAAGATACAGAAATTCCAACAGAAATCTCTGCCTGCCACCGAGTGAGCAGGAGGTTTGAGTTTCAATTATAGAAGGTAAATAAATTCCAGATACCAGGGCCTCCGCTTGGGACACCAGGGGGCGTGGCTGGCCTGCAAACCACCACAGGCTCCTCACTAAGGCCGCCCCACACCACAAGGGAACTGCCACCCTGATCTGGGACATCTTTCAGGGTAAACCAGCTGGCCTCCACCCGTGCACCAGGCTTCTATACTATCTAATAAAAGAGAATATGCAGATTGATCATCACTCCAACACACAAGATGGTTGCCCCCATGTGGTCAAAGATCCTGCCCCCATGTGGACACAAGGTGGCCACCACAAGATGGCCCGCAGGGGACGGCAGTTGGGAGGGACTAGGCCTGCAAGGGAGGGCAGTTGGAGGCAATCAGGCCTGCAGGGGAGGGCAGTTAGGGGTGACCAGGCCAGAGAAGGGGAAAAGTTGGGGGCAAATAGGCTGGCAGGGGAGCAGTTAGGCATCAATCAGGCTGGCATGGGATTGGTTAGGGGGTGATCAGGCTGGCAGGCAGAAGTGGTTAGGGGCAATCAGGAAGGCAGGCAGGCGAGCAGTTGGGAGCCAGCAGCCCTGAATTGTGAGAGGGATGTCTGACTGCCCATTAAATGTGCAATCAGACATCCCTCAAGAAGTCCCAGATTGGAGAAGGTACAGCTGAACTGAGAGATACCACTCTTCATGCCCGAATTTTGTGCACCGGGCCTCTAATATCTATATGCTGATGATTCTCAAATTTAATCTCTGATTCTGACCCTTCTCCTTTTCTTTTTTAAAAATCTCATCTACATAGCTACATGTATTATATATGCACTTACATATTTCAAGGAAGACAAAATACTTGGTATCCCTTCAAGAAATCTTCTTCCAGTGTACTTATTTCAATAAATAGCTCCACCAATGCTCAAGCCAAAAATTATTGAGGTCACACTAAACTTTCCCTTTTCTTTTATTCCTGACCCCCAACCCCAAGTCCAGAAATAAGTTTTCTTGACTTTCTTTTGTCCTTAAAGACATCCTGAATCTGACCACTTTTGAACTACTTCCACCGTTGTCACTCTGGTCTGCAGGATGTTAATCTCCCACTTCATATTGTAACAACCTTTTAATTGTTCTATACTTTTTTCTTTACCAGGGTGATCACTGATTTAGTTCTCCTCCACTCCTACTCTAACTATTGCAACAAACAGCCACCCAAGATTGTTAATACTCTCTGCCTATGATACTCTTCCCCTAAATATTCCCATGACACCCTCCCTCATTTCATTTGGGTCCAATGACATATATCCAATGTCATGTCATTTGAGAGATCTTCCATGATCATTTGATCTAAAGTGGCAGATACTTTCGCTTATCACTTCTTTTTTCTCTTATTCTCATTTATTTTCCTCAAAGCATGTGTTTTCTAGACGACATTTGTGTTGTCTGCCTGCCTGCCAGAGAAATGTACGGTATATCATCATGAAGACAGAAACTAAGTCTGTCTTGTTTGTTGCTATATGGCTAACCTCCAAAACAGTGGAGATACATAGTAGGTATTCATTTTTTATTGAAAAAACAAATGAATGAAAGAACCATATTTTGCAACACCAATTGGAGACATTGGAGTTAACAGATAATTAATGACTTTTTGGAAGGAGCTTCTATTCAAGTGGAAATTCAGTGATCTCTTAGCTGTTACTATCATAGTAATGGAATACACTACTTAAACATATTGATGAATGCCATTTCCCTAAAACTGGCCAGTTTAATATTATTACAAACTTCCCTACAATACAGAAAAAAACATGTCATTTGGAAAGTTTTGGAATATTTAAAAAAAAACAACTATAGTAAAGTATAATTGAGATCATTAAAATATTGAAGTACACATGTTTAAAGTGTATAATTTTATCATTTTTAACAATATAAATCCATCATTCCTCTGTTTTCACTTAGATTATAGTTCAATTTTAGCTCTGCTGTTCAATAGCAGAGTAATCTTTGGCAAATAATTTAATTCCAAAATTGTGTTTGTTTATCTGAAAACTGGCAATAATAGTAATACTAAGATACATTTAAAGTGTTTGGCAAATAAGAAGCATATTATAACTTCTAGTGCTTTTTTTTTTAAAGCCTAAGTAAAATAATACTCAAAAGCTGCTTAAATATTTTAAATTGATATTGCTGTTGATTTTTAATAAACTCAAAACTTATATTTTTTTTCTGGTCCAGGTGGGGAATTTAAGTTTGCCAGAAGCAGGAATAGGGGATTTGTGAAGACAATAGGCAATTAAGAGTGGATGCTCAATGATATAAAAGTTTTCAAATTTAAAATTTAAGAAAAGAAGAAAAAGAATTATGCTGGCCCTGCAAAACAAATCCACAGGATATATGGATCGTAAGTTTTTGGACCCCAACATTGTGAAGTTAGGGAAGGAGCTTCAGTTAGAGATGGACATGATTTAGTTTATATTTTACAGACAAAGTTAATTTTGGCTGTTTTAAGAAGAATAGATGGGAAGGGAGCAAGCAGAAAAGCAATGGAACCAATTAGAAAACTATTATAACAATAACAAGTTACATAAGGAAATAGGTTGGTTTAAAATAAATGGGGAGAGCAAATGGAAAGAAGTGGATGAATTTGAGATATGTTCTGAAGTTAGAATAGACATTTCTTTGTATGTCCACATTAAAAATTGATTGAATTTTCTTAAAAGTTTTTATAAGGTCACTTTTAAAGGTAGTGATTTTTTAAAAAATTTGACATTGATTCTTTGATTCCCCCAGTTATGTTTTCATAGGAATGTATTATCTAAAATGAACTGGATTAGTTTACGCTACTCACAGAGGGAAGTTGGCATACTGCCAACTGGGCTGGGCCCCATTGACTTTCTGTTTCCTTTTCTCTGAATCTCTGATGCCTCTGCTATTTTTTTTTGTTCCTGCCTCGCTGTCCAGAGAGCAACTACTCTCAGCCTCAGCCCCCGTATGGATTCTACAAACAGGTAAAAAACCTGCTGCTTTCCACTTTTCCTAGCCACTTATAAACAATTGCCTTTAAAAAAATTTTTTCTAGCCAAAACCGGTTTGGCTCAGTAGATAGAGCGTCGGCCTTCGGATTGAAGGGTCCCAGGTTTGATTCCGGTCAAGGGCATGTACCTTGCTTGCGGGCATATCCCCAGTGGGGGTGTGCAAGAGGCAGCTGATCGATGACTCTCTCTCATCGATGTTTCTAGCTCTCTATCTCTCTCCCTTCCTCTGTGTACAAAATCAATAAAATAGGTTTTAAAAAATCTTTCTAAAAATAATAATTTAGAATGTTTTTTGCTTGCTATCTGTCCACCCTCATTTACACATTCCATGTGACATGTAGAGCAAATATGAGGCATAAATGCAAGTTTTGTGAAAGTATATATGGTCTGTTTTCCAATATTTATGAGGAATATGTTTGATTATTCACTAGGTTGGGAAACATGAAAACTCGTTTGACGTGGCTGCAAGAGAAGAAACTACAAAACCATTTGGGAGGGAAGCAGTTCAGCCTCCTCTTTAAGGCTAGTGTCCATGGATTTCATAATAGCGTTCTGTGCTCAAGATGCTTTTGTCAAGGACCCACTCTAATGGTGATCTATAGTTCTGATCATGTTTTTGGGTTATATATGCCCCAGAATGACAAAAATAAAGCCACAGATTCCTGCCTCCTTTTGGCCTTTGAAGAGACTGAAATTTTAGGATGTGAAATAGGACCATGTGATTTGACCGATATTACTTCCTTTTCTAATAAAGGGAAATTCCAGATTAATCTATTCAGTAAAGAAGTGACTATGAGCTCAGATACATTAAAAAAATTAAAACTATTTCAACATCAGGTAATATCCTTGGAAGAATGTGAAGCTTTTCGATGTGAAGGTAAGTTACATAACCTTAGAGTTCTCTTCTGCATGCTGACCTTAAGGAAAAAAATGACCTTTTACTTGTCCTTATTTCTAGGCAACTCAGACTGAAACCTGGCCACAAATCAATGGCTAAGACACAATCATAGTCCAAAGTAGCATATATAGTTTTTTGAAGTGTGTTTGTATGGAGGAAGAGGTAGGAGAGGAGGAGCAAATGTGGAAGGAGAAAGAGAGAGAGAAGCAAACATAAATATTGTGAGATTCTCTTGAAAAAAAAAACAAACACAAGAAGCAACAACAACAACAAAAAAAAACAACAACAAAAAAACAAACAAAAAAACCCAACACCCACAAAAAATAGAGCTTGAGCTTCTGTTAATTGGTGCAGAAGCTGGGATCAATCAATCCTTTCTGATGCAGTTTCCCATATATCAAAAGACGAAAATTCATTTACCTTTTTTCTACTTAAGAATATTTAAATTGTTTCCAACATTTGCTGCTGTAAACAATGCTCCTATGATGTATTTATGCATAAAGCTGTAGACAAAATTACTTTAGGATAACTTTTTGGAACTGCAATTGTGTTTAAGAATTATTCACATTTAAATTTTGATAGACTTTTCAAAAGCTTCAGTTGTCTATAGTATCCCTAAGAATGTTAAGAAATGTCTATTTTCCTGCATTCTTTGCCAAACTTCAGGAAATTTGCCAATTTGATGGTCAAAAGATGATATTTCTCTCTCTCTTCCCTTAACCTTCATTATTAATAAGCCTATGTGCATTGTTTCTTTTGGATGTTAAAATTATTTGAGAGAATGCTTTTTACATTTCCAAGAGTTTGCTTTTTTGTTTGTTTAACCAGCTTTTTCTAGTTTTATTATATTACAGTCATTGAGTTCAGTCTTTACTATTTCCTTCTTGTAATTTAAAAAAGGTTTTCTTTGTAACTATACATATAGCTATATTTATAAATTAGAGGCCTGGTGCATGAAATTCGTGCACAGGGTGTGTGTGTGTGTGTGTGTGTGTGTGTGTGTGTGTGTGTGTGTGTGTATCCCTCAACCCAGCCTGTATCCTCTCCAATCTGGGACACCTTGAGGGATGTTCAACTGCCTGGGATCAGACCTAAATGGGCAGTCGGATATCCCTCTCACAATTCAGGACTGCTGGTCCCAACCGCTTGCCTGCCTGCCTGCCTGCCTGATTGCCTGTAACTACTTATGCCTGCCAGCCTGATCACCCCCAAACATACCCCTGCCAGCCTAATTGATGCCTAACTGCTTCCCTGTCAGCCCCATTGCCCCTAATTGCCCTTCCCTGCTGACCCGGTAACCCCAAACTGTCCTCCATTGCCAGCCTGGTCACCCCTAACTGCCCTCCCATACAGGCCTGGTTGTCCCCACCTGTCCTCCCCTGCAGGCCTGGTTGCTCCCAAATGGCCTTCCCTGACAGCACCAGTCACTCCTAATTGCTCTCCCCTGAAGGCCTCATCCCCTCAAATGCGCTCCCTTGCAGGCCTGGTCCCTTCCAACTGCCCCCAGATTTCCTCCCCTGCAGGCCTGGTTGCCCGTAAACTGCCCTCCTCTACCATCCCAGTAACCCCTAACTGCCTTCCTCTGCACTCTGATTGCCCCCAATTGCCCTCCCTTGCAGGCCTGGGTCCCCCCCAACTGCCCTTCCATGCAGGTCTGGTTGTCCCCAACTTCCCTCCTCTACCAACCCAATCATCCCTAACTGCCCTCCCCTGCAGGTCTGATCACCTCCAACTGCTCTTCATTACAGACCTAGTCCCTCCCAACTTCCCTCCCCTGTAGGCCTGGTTGCCCCTAACTGCTCTCTACTGGCTCAGTCACCCCTAATTGACTTCTCCTACAGGCCTTATTACCTCCAACTTCCTCCCTTACAGTCCTGGTCACCCCCAACTGCACACCCCTGCAGGCCTGGTTGCCCCTGACTGCCCTCCTCTGCAGGCTTGATCACCCCCAACTGCCCTTCTTTGTAGGCCTGGTCCCTTTCAACTGTCCTCCACTGCTGGCCTAATCACTCCCAACTGCCTTCTTCTGCTGGCCATCTAGTGGCAGCCATCCTGTGTCCACAAGGGGTAGCCATCTTTGACCACATGGGGTGGCCATCTTGTGTGTTAGAGTGATGGTCAATTTGCACATTACTCTTTTATTAGATAGGATATCCCACACAGTATTCCTAATTTTAGAGGATTGCATCATTACACCTAATTATTTCAATTTTAAATCCACTATAAGAGTCTCTTTAAAGCACCAAAATAATTCTGGGCCTGAGTCTCATTGGTACAAATGAAGTCCTCAGCACACCCGGGACCTCTCACTGTGCTCTGCTTGAATAGACATGAGCCCCACATACTGTTCTGAAGTCAGTAATAAAATTATAAATTCCAGAAGCCATTGACAGTAACTTTTGGAAAAAAATCTTGTGCCTGTGTGGTGGTTGTTTTTTTTTTTCTGTGTGTGCCTGTACATTATCTCTTTCAGACATTGGTCTATTGAGGAGAAAGTAGAGCATTCACAGTTTTCCTTACCTGTCCACACTTCTAGGCCTTGTTTCTCTGACTCAGAAAGAATCTCCACCCTCACCTTCCATGTGGGAGTGGGCCACACACTATTACTGGGTAATTGGGTAAGAAACAATCTTACTGGTAGTCATGCGGTGCTCACCTTGCCTCTCACCTCTTCAAATGAGGTGATGTTCAGAATATTTGCCATAATTTTCTTCAAGTGCTTTTCACTATAGTGTGCTGTTCTCACAGAAAGGCTATTTTGGTGGGTTTTTTTTTCTAGTGAATTCATTGACATTTATTCAGTCAGCCAACCATTCAACAACTTGTAACCTTCATTATTCTTTCTTTCCTCAGATTTATTGGACACAAGGAAGATGAATGGGGTTGCTGAGTAAGTCAGTGTTTTTAAAGTTCCATTATTCTGTTCATTATCTTAAACTTATTATGTTATAGGTTCTGTTAATAAAATTAGTAGCACAAATTATGACAAATAACTTGTGGATCACTATCAACAAAAATAAACTATTATATAATTATAAAACCATTTAATAATACTAATGTGAAAACAAAAAGAATACCAATAGAGGGAATGCATTTCTAATTTTGATATACTTGAAGGAAAATAATTATTTAGCTGTATATGTGCATTTTTTTTAATTATTTGCTAGGAATTCTTATAGTTGCTTTTTCAACTCTTAGGTATTTTCTATTGAAGGGGTGATTGGTTGTAATTTCAAGAACAGGGTAGGAATGATCTCCTTCCATAAACTTCAAAAGTCACTTACTATGTTGTGGTTTTGAGTTTTATTATTGATTAGAGGCCCAATGCATGAAATTCGTGCCAGGTAAGGTCCTTAGGCCTGGCCAGCAATCAGAGCTAATTGGGGCCTTTTGGCTGCTGGCTGGGGCCTCTCTTCCCTAGCTGCTAGCTGTGGCCTGGGCCTCCCTTCATTCCATACTGCCCCCTAGTCATAGCTAGTGATCAAACTCCCAAGGGGAAACTTTGCATATTAGCCATATATATATATATATATATATATATATATATATATATATATATGTGTGTGTGTGTGTGTGTGTGTGTGTGTGTGTGTGTATATATACACACACACACACACATATATATATATATATATATATATATATACACTAAGAACCTGTTGCAGGAATATTCCTGCAAGACTCTGGCAGGATTCCTTCCTGGCACTGCCACCTCTTCCGCTCTCCCACCTCTCCTCCGTGGCCCACCCATACCACCCATCCCACCCATCCCACCGCACCCACAGCCACCACTGCCACCATCTTAGTGGCTGCGTGCTGCCACCACCGCTATGTGCCTAGCCCTGCCCATCTCATCCACCACACCTTGCCCACCACAGCCATTGCCTCCTTGGCCGTGCATGGCATGCTACTGCCATCGCTGTGAGCCCTGACCTGCTCTGCCAGCTGCTGCTGCCTCTGGGGCCCTGCATACCACTGCTACATGCCCTGTCCTGCCCACCTGACCCACTGCACCCGCCACCCCACTGCCTCCTGCTGCCGCCTCCATGGCTGTGGGTGTTGCCGCTGCGTGCCTCGCCCCGCTTCACCCTGCATGAGCTGCCAGTGCATTCCCTTCAGCAGCTGCAGCCATCCTGCTTTCCACTTTCCCTTCCTCTTCCTTCTATGCTGTCTTCAGTGTTCACTCCTCCCTCCCTCCACATATGCAAATTAACCACCATCTTTATTGGGTTAATTTGCATGCTCACTCTGATTGGCTGATGGGTTTGGCCTGTAGGCATGGCTTGTGGGTGTAGCGGAATGATGGTTAATTTGCATCTTACTCTATTATTAGATAGGATAGACTAGAGGCCTGGCGCATGAAATTCTTGCATGGGTAGGGTCCCTAGGCCTGATCTGAGATCAAGGCCAATCTTCCTGTCATCTGGCCCTGATCCCTCTGCCACTGCCTATCTCCCTCTGTGTGTGGGGTGACTGAAGGGACAATCAGGGCCCTTGTTCTTCCCACGTCCACTGCTACCCACCCCTGGTTTCCAGTTCCCCATCAGGTGATTGGAGCCTGCTGACCAGGGGGAGAAGGGGCCAAGAGGTTGGTTGTTTTGACCTGTTCACTGGTCCCTCCCCCACCACTGCCGGTTGCCCTCTGTGTGTAGGGTGATTGGTGGAGCAATCAGGGCCCAGGCACTGCCTGCATCTGCCATCACCCACTCCTGGTTCTGGTTCTCCATAGAGTGATTGGAGCCTGTCAGTTGGGGGGAGGGACTGAGAGGTTGGCTATCAGGTGAGCTGGAGGCCTGTGGGCTGGGGGCAGCTTCTGCATTGAGCATCTGCTCCCTGGTGGTCAGTGAGCATCATAGCCAACCAGTCATTCTGCTGTCTGGTCAATTTACATTTTATACTTTATCTATCTGTCTGTCTATCTATCATCTATCTAATTTATTTTCATGTTTAACATAGTTGATATTGAATTCTAAGTTTATATGGTCTGGTTGCTTAAATCTGAAAGATTATATGTCCAAATTGCCTTAGTTAAAAGTCTATTTTTTTTTCTTTTATAATAAGATTTAAGGTAGGATAGTTTTATATCTTCTTATATAAGAAGGCAAATTGATAATTGAAAAATAATAATGTATAAGTAAGTAAAAAAAATAAAGGAAAATTTATGGTAAGGTCTTGTGATCTAATCTCAGTTAACTGTTAAAATGGTCTTATCTAAACAGGCTCAGAGAGAACTTATTATCTGCCATAAGAACTTACAAACCATCTAGGGACCTGGTTCAGCAAATTCGAATTCTGCTCCTGGGTCCGATTGGAGCAGGGAAGTCTAGCTTCTTTAACTCAGTAAAATCTGTTTTCCGAGGCTATGTAACCCACCAGGCTTTGGTTGGCTCTGACAGAACTGGGATATCTAAGCAGGTGAGTCATTGTAGATCACTCAGCCTTTGCTACTTTGTTCAAGTTAGATTTGAAAAGTTTTGTATTTTTTTCCTGATCAACTTTATTACATGTAGACTTTATCTCAATTTATATACATCTATACATATACATCTATACATACACACATATACACATACATATACATATACACACATATACACATACATATATACATACACACACACACACACACATACATACATATTCAGGCCTGGTGCATGAAATTTGTGCATGGGGTCGGGGGACACAGCCCAGTCTGCACCCTTTCCAATCTGGGATCCCTCTCACAATCCAGGACTGCTGGCTCCCAACTGATCACCTGCCTGCCTGCCTGATTTCCCCTAACAGCTTCTGTTTATCATCCTGATCTCCCCTTAACCACTCCCCTTCCAGCCTGATTGACACCTAACTGTCCTCCTCTGCTGGCCTGGTTACCCCCAACTGTCCTTCCTTGCAAGACTGGTTGCCCCCAACTGACCTCCCCTGAAGTCCTGGTCCCTCCCAACTGCCCTCCCTTGCTGGCTATCTTGTGGTAGCCATCTTGTGTCCACATGGGGGTGACCATCTTGTGTGTTGGAGTGATGGTCAATTTGCATATTACCTTTTTATTATATAAGATACTAGATGCACAGTGTACAAAACTTGTGCATGGAGGTGGGGGTCCCCTCATCTCAGCCCACACCCTCCCCAATCCATGATACCTCTCACAATCTGGAATCTCTGGCTCCTAACTGCTCATCTGCCTGCCTGCCTGATTGCTCCTTACTGCCCCCCCTGCCACCCTGATCACCTCTAACTGACCCCCTGCCAGCCTAATCACCCCTAACTGCCCCCCCTGTACTGGCCTGGTTGCTCCCACTTCCCCCTATGCTGACTTGGTCAATCTCACTATCCTCCCTCCCCCCGCCGGCCTGGTCACCCCACACAGCCTGCTGTTCAGTTGTTTGGTTGTCCCTCACCACCCCCCTGCCAGCCTGGCCGCCCCCCACAGCCTGCTGTTCGGTCGTTACTGTGAGGGCATCCTGACCAATTTGCATATTACTCTTGTATTAGTGTGTGTGTGTGTGTGTGTGTGTGTGTGTGTGTGTGTGTGTGTAATGTGTATTTAAAAAATGAACCCCTAGAGTTTCTTTTTTTCTCCTTTGCAGTACAGGATATATTCCATCAATGATGGGAAGACTGTCAAGCCCTTGCCATTTATTCTGTGTGACTCAGTGGGGCTGAGTGAGGAAGAAGGGCTGTGCCTGGATGACATACCCTACATCTTAAAAGGCCACATTCCTGACAGATATCAGGTATAATTTGGCTAATTATTAAGAAGTTATAGTTTATATTTTAAATGCCTACTATTAGGACAAAAGACTCCAGTCTAGTTGGTGCATCAGCATTTATTTTCTTAAAGTATAGTTGTTCAAGATCCTTTGTTTCTTTTTGATATTTTACAAGGAATTAAAAAATCCAAAAGTCTTTTCTATCATAGCTGTCATAACAATTCTGAATGTTGTTGCACACTCAATTGTTTTTGGATATTCAACTTACATAGGTAATTTTTTTTAAAAATATATTTTTATTGATTTTATACAGAGAGGAAGAGGAAGAGAGAGAGATAGTCAGAAACATCAATGAAAGAGAGTCACCGATCAGCTGCCTCTTGCACACCCCCTACTGGGGATATGCCCGCAACCAAGGTACATGCCCTTGACCGGAATCGAACCCGGGGCACTTCAGTCCCCAAGCTGACGCTCTATCCATTGAGCCAAACCGGTTTCGGCTACATAAGTAATTTTTGTTATGTAGCAGGAAGTCTGGAGGTAGGTAGCTTTGTGCCAGTGTGTCAGCTCTTTGAGATTATTATTTTCAAGGTCCTTCTGATTTTTTGTTCTGAGATCCTCATCATAAAGTGCTATGGATTGAATGTGTTTCTTCAAAATTCATATGTTAAAGCCATACTCCACAATGTGATGATATTTGGAAGTGGGCCTTTGGAAGATGATTAAATCATGGAGTAAAGCCCTCATGAATGGAATTAATGTCCTTATATAAGAAGACACACAAGAGACATGGTCTCTCTTAGCCACATGAGGACACAGCAAGAAGGTGGCTGTCTACCAACTAGGAAGGGAGCTCTCATTAGATAAAAATCTGTTAGCAAAACCATGATCCCCAGAACTATGAAAAATGAGTATTTGTTGCATAAACCACACAATATCATAATTTATTATAGCAGCCCAAGATGGCTAAAACATGTGACTTTTTTATTTTAAAAATATGTTTTTATTGATTTTAAAGAGAGGGATAGTGAAATAGAAACTTAAATTGGCTGCCTCCTGCACGCCCTCTACTGGGGACTGAACCCACAACCAGGGAATTAGTGACATCTTGGTTCATAGGTCAATGCTTAATCACTGAGCCATACCAGCTGGGCACTGACATGTGACTTTTATCCAATTGTTCTTAAGATCCTCATGCTGAGCACTGTTAGTGTTCCAGGCAATAGGAAAAGGGAGATTTTTGGGAAATCTGTTTGGTTATCCTATAGACATATACTTCCCCATAGTCTGAAATGTGCTGTTTCCATCACTTGATATAGTTTTAGTTTTTATGTACCCTGAAAATTGATAGATGAATGTAGACACATGTTCAGATTCAGATCTGCTTCATAAGATGGTGCTGTGCTCTTCCATGAAAGCTACATAATTTTGTACTTTCTCACTTCTGTAATATAGGTTTTGTTAACATTCAACATCTAGATACCTTTATTTATTAGGGTATGAAAATAGTGATATTCTATCTCTATCATTGCTTTTTCATTTCACATTTGAAAGACAACTTTCCCTCATCCACTATTTGTTTAGTTAGTGGTACAGTTAATAACATTAATATGGATGGTCAGGATATCTGCTTGATTTTTTTTAATAAACTTCGGGAATAATAAGTTGATTTCTTTACATCTGTCAATATTGATCAGTGATTATTTTATTATCATTATGAACTCATGAATTGAACATACTTGGTGAGTTTCAATGCACTGTAGTTTATCTACATAAAGATGTCAAATGTAACATCTTTGAGTACTAGGAGCTGCTGCAATTTGGATTCTGAGTCCTATTGACATAAAAATCTGTTATATCCCTTGAGTCTTTATATGACTATAAATATAAACCATATTTTGTATTTTTACAGTCCAGATTTCGAACCAGTTATTTCTCTAAGACATATTGGTTTGGTTTGGTTTGGGTCATAAGAACTGTTCATTACTATTATACTTAGTGGATTGTTGGTTCTTGCTTTTTTTAGTGGACAAATCTAAAAATATCACATCTATCTATCTATCTATCTATCTATCTATCTATCTATCTATCTATCTATATTCAGATACAGGATTATATAGTTTTTTACTTAATCTCTTTTGGTAGGAACCCCTTTCACAGCCAGCGTGGTTCAGGCTTCTGGTTCAGGGTTCAGGTTCTGGAGAAGGCCACACACAAATGAAAGACTAGAAAAGTATTAATTTGGGAATATTGGGGGCCAGGAGGGAGTCCACCTCTAGGGAGTCCACCTCTAGGGATAGCAAAACCACCTGCTCTGGTTTTGCTATCCCTTTTATTAAGGTTATGAGATACACCCATATTCTATAGGCAGGAAATTCCAATAATAGCCAATCATCAAGAATTTACATAAGAGTAACAGATAGAGGCTTCTTTAACTACCAATGTCTCAACTAAACAATGAGTGTTTCTGGATTCCCTGTCCACATCTCTCTATTAGAAACAATGATCAGTTTTCTGCATCTTTTATCTTGCATCAGTATCTGCTTTATCTGAACAGAAAATCTCTAGTCTCAAGGATACCAGAGATGACAAAATATGTCACCACTCATTTGCTTTATATTACACAATATCCACTCTAATCTCAGAAATAATTATCTAACACTACCATGAATAATCTAATTGGAATTATATTTAATATCAATAGAATAAAAATAGCAAGTAAAAATTAGAAACAATTAAAAATTTATAGCATATTTTTCATATTACGTTTAGCACATATCATGTAGTAGGTGTATACAAATTACTGTGTTTTAAAGTCAGTCAGACATAGTTTCTTTCTGTATCTTTAGATATGACCCCAGTTGCATGCAAAAGTTCACTTATTTAAATCAATTTAGAGATTGCTTTTTAAATTTAATTTTGTTATATATATATATATATATATATATATATATATATATGTATAATTTATATGGTTCTAAAGTCAAAACTACAAAATAAGGTGTATTCAAATAATCCATCTTCATTCTATTTCAGTTAAAATGCATTTCTTCCTGCTACTTATAAGTATCCATATAAAAATTTATGATTTACTTCAATTTTTTAATATATTAGAAAATACAGATTTGTGGTTTCCTCTTTTTTAGAGAAGTGATAGAATAATATATGTCATTGTTGTCACATAATTTTGCTGGTACAAATAGTCCTGAAGTTAATAGCCTTGTACATACATTTGTGGGACAGATCACCAGCAAAGGATTTCTAGTTTAAGAGTAAATGCATCTCATTTTGTCCCACTTTCCCCCTTGCACTCTGCCTGATGATACCAATTCCATCTTTGTCCATCTTGCTTTTTCTGTCTAGGATACTTTCTGTCTTATTGTTATTCCCTTATTCAGATGAATTCACCTGTGTGTGTGGTTTTTGTTTTTTTTAACCTTCATATGACATGTCCCTTCTTCACAGAAGCTTTTCCTACATGAAAGGACTGCTATCTACTTGCCTAATGACGTCTCCTCTACAAGATTGTTAGCTTCATACTATTAAAGACTTGTTTGTTATGTTCACTGTTTTATTCACTTGCACAGTGCCTGGTACATAGTATGTGCTTATAAATATTTGTTGAATTAATATGTTCCTTTATGTTTACCATACAGTTTAACTTCATGAAACCAATCACACCAGATCATGAGAGCTATATAAAATTCCTATCGCTGGAGAACAGAATCCATTGTGTGGCATTTGTGTTTGATGCCAACTCTATTGAGCAACTCTCTGATGAGATGGTAGCAAAGGTCAAAAAAGCTCGAAGGAAGGTGATAAAGTGTGGTGAGTATTATTCCACTGTACTTCTAAGGCTAACTGATTAGACTACTGTATATTGTAGAATAGATTTGAACAGGTTGAAGAACTTATGAAAATGCATATTTAAATATTCCCTGGCTCATCAGTGTGGTTCATTCAAATCAAGCCCTCACTAGCCGTATGTCTTTGTGCAAGTGATTTAAACTTTCTATGCCACAGTGTCTTAATCTATAAAATTAGTGTAACAATGGAGGTTCTAAAGTAAGGATTAAAAAAATTAATATATATGTAGAGTTTAGTACAGTCCTCACTGCATCTCAGCATGCATTTATTTACCAACAGTCCTAAACTTCCTCTTGGGCCTTAAAGAATTAGAAAGAGGAAGAATCATTTTAGTAAGAAAAAGAGAGGAAAATAAGATGCTTGGTAAAGAGAAGGTAAGCAAGAGTAGGGAATTAAAGTGCCCCATACTGTCTTTTCTTTTTTAATATATTTTTTTATTGATTTCAGAGAGGAAGGGAGACAGAGAGAGAGAGCAAGAGATAGAAACATCAGTGATGAGAGAAAATAATTGATTGGCTGCTTCCTGCACACACCCTACTGGGGATGGAGCCTGCAATCTGGGCATGTGCCTTGACTGGGAATCAAACCTTGACCTTCTGGTTCAGATGGATGCACAACCACTGAGCCTGGCAGGCCATGCCACACCAGCTTTTCCTGGCCTTATTATTCATTCTGTTTGGGAGTCAGTTTATCACAACTTTGATAAGGTTAGAAGCAGGGAGTGATTGACTTACTTGCTCACTGAAATTTAAAACCTTGAAAGGGTGGTGTGCAGAGATATGCCTGCTACCATTGGGATATAGAAGAAGTTTAACTGCAGTATTTTGACATATTGTTTCCTTGAGGCCTCTTCTTCATCTTGTTTATTAGAGTCCTTTGGCCTTTTCTATAGTTTTCATAAAAACACAACAGTTGGATAAGATATAAAATCAATGAGTAATACTGTAGCATACATTTTAGTTACCTCTTCCGAGGAGTGGTTTCATTTGAAGCCTGACTTCTTATCATGGGAAGCAATAAAGGGACTTCCTATGTTAGGAAAATTCCAGGTACCAGTAAGTAGTTCAGAGGGATTTTGTGTATGTGTGTGTGGGGTGTGGGGAGGGGGAAGGAAGTGGTGAGGGGGTGGTTAGGGAACATTCCCAAATTTCTGAAATTGTTAGTCTATTGCAGTGGTCGGCAAACTCATTAGTCAACAGAGCCAAATATCAACAGTACGATTGAAATTTCTTTTGAGAGCCAAATATTTTACACTTAAACTATATAGGTAGGTACATTGTTATTAACTTAATTAGGGTACTCCTAAGTTGGCCTTTGCTAAAAACTCAAGGGGACAAAGAGCCTCATATGGTTCGCGAGTCACGGTTTTCCAACCACTGGTCTATTGCATAATTGATAGCTGATGAACTGAAAAAATACTGATGCTGCCTATGATAATAAAAACAATATCTATCTGTCTGGCATAGGTGTGGCACCTGTGGTTTTACTCACTTGTGTGGATACCATGGATCTGATTACAAGAGGAGATCTTATAGACATATACAAATGTATGCCTGTGAAGCTCAAGGTATTGAACGATGTCATTGTAAACACATTTTCTGGTTTGTCACTATAATCACATGATATTATTTTGTATAAATAATAAAAATAGCTATGTGTGAAGTTTAAGATTTGAAACAATTGCTTGGATAATTCAGACTTATTTTCTAAGTTTTAAATATTAACTATCTTTCCGCTGACAGGTAACTTGTATTTATTATAATTTAATTCATTGAGGTTCAATTCAACATATATTTGTTGATTACCTGCAATGATCGTGTGATAGTCTCTAATCAGATACACAGATAAGTGAAATAATTTCCCTGTTCTAAAAAGCTTGCAACTTTATAGATGGAGGTGAGGGGATAGGGGAATTGGAGCGGAAAAAGTTGACAAAAGAATATGATATGATATTATTGAGTATAATAAATATCTGAAATAATGAAATATAAAATGTGGTGAAAGTTTAGATTAGGAAAATATTGAGCTAAAGGGCCAGGGCGGGGGGGGGGGGGTGGAAAGAGGGAGGGAGAGATTTTGTTTCTGGGGTGGCATTAGGAAATGACTTTTACAGTGGAGGAGTATTTTTAGGGGGAAAAACTCAGGCCAAGGGGACAGCATAAGTGAATTCATCAATGTAGGAAAAAGCATTTCAGGAGGCACATAGAGTGTTCAGTTTAGTGGAGGGCTGAATCATTGTAAGGAAAGATAAAGTGAGAAAGAAACATTTACATGAGGTGATTTTTCTTAACCAGGTGCATTACGGGGAAGCATAGCAACTTTTTGAAAGCGTAGTGATGTGAACAAAGTCTGCTTCACAAAACTTCATCTGACACCTATGTGAAGTATAGATTAGAGTCAAAAGAAAACACAAGTGCACAGAGCAAAACATTTGCCAACGGACGCTTATTGACAGTGCCAAGCGGTGACAGAGCTCTATATTGATCCCAGGCAATCTGGTTGTACAGATAAACTAGTCTAATTAAACATCAGCACCATGAACTTGAAACTAATATAAAAATTATCACATGTTAGTTGTAATTGAAAAATAAAATTTAAAAAAGTAAGTTAAATATCAGCATTAAACTAGTAAAATCACCTTATCCTAAGAATAACTTTTAAAAGAAAACATGGAAGTTATGGACTTTAATGTAAGTATATTTAAAATGCTTCAATTTCAAAGTAGTTTATATAGAACCATGTTACCTTTATATTTTAATTCATATTGAATCTGTTATATGTATTCTAACTGACAATTAGCAGTGATGTTAGAGCTTGACTTGGGAAGTTCTTAGAAAAAGTGTGTTATGGGCCAGATCTCTATCTCTGTTTCTCACAGTAGGAAAAATATTGCCAAGTACCTACCTTTGCTTTGATGATTTATATTGGCATTAAGTAGTGTTTTCCATTGTTTCGAGATTTCTGGGTTTTAATTTCTGTATTTCAGCGAGAGGAAGTCCACAAAAAACTTGGATTTGCTCTTTCTGACATCTTGGTGGTCAGTAATTATACCTCAGAGTGGACTCTGGACCCTATTAAGGACGTTCTGAACCTCTCTGCACTGAGACAGATGCTGTGGGCAGCAGATGACTTCTTAGAGGATCTGCCTCTTGAGAAAAAACAGGTAAATGCATTTGGTGGTATAGAAACTTGAAGATGTCAGTTTTGTGGCTACTTCCTGCTTGGATCTATTGGGTACATGACAATTCTGTGTCTGTGAGTTACTGCTCTGAGAGTAATCCTCATCAGATATGATCTTTGATTATTTGGCCTTTCCTTAAGATCTTATGCTTCTGTCTCTTTGACTTGAAAACTCTCCCTCCTTTGAAGCCTGTCAATGAAGTGTGACTGGTGCTAGGCAGAGGGAAGTACCTTTCATATGCATGCCTCAGATTTTAGCATTATGTGTATTCTTTAGTACCCAATCTGTGCAAATACACACTGTACTATTCTAATCAAAGTTGAGATAGAGTTTTAGTTTATTGTCAAATATTATTTTAGTTGTGGGAAATCATATTAGAATATCATATCCTCTCTAGTTCTCTTATTTACAAACTATTGGGAAACCCTCAAACTAACTTTGCTGTCCTGACTCTGTGCCATCTTGGTTTCTCCATTTCTTCTCTCCTCATGGTGCATGCACTCCAAAGTCAGGATTGGCTTAGACCTCTAGTAGGCCAATGTTCCTCTTCCTTCTGGTTGCATTTTCTAAGTAATGTATTAAGAATATTTTGTTTCTCTTTTCTCAGCAATCAGAGAAAAGCATTAGCCAGGAAAACTGGAAAAAGACAAATAGATGGAGATAAAGCCATATTTTACTTATGGCTTGGATGAAGATGCAAAAAAATTCATAATTCATAGAAATAACTTGGAACAGCTGAATTTAAAGTTGTAAAAAACAATCATAATCTTTTTGGATGTATGTTCTATACTGGTGAAAAATTAAAGTTTCTTCTTATAAAATCTGTGTGTGTGTGTGTGTGTGTGTGTGTGTGTGTGTATAATTTTGGAAAAAGTTTATTTTGATGCTAGTGACCTGATGCACAGATTCATGCACATTGAAAGAAAATTAATTAGAAGGTGGTCAGTGGTGTGGGACTGGGTGAAATGGGCCAGACACACTCTGGAGCTGACCTCCCTTAGTCCCTCCCTGGCTAGCCACACCTGGGGCAGAGCCATTAATAGAAAGGCATCTGAAGAGTAAGTGGGGTCCCTTTAGCAGGTGGGGTCCTTCGGCCTGGCCTATGAGGATTGGGCCAAAACCTGCTCTCCAATATCCCCCAAGGAGTCCAAAATGCAAGAGGAAACTGAAAAATTGCTGTCATACAGGGTGTGGAACACAAATGCAAGTGTGCAGTAAATCAGGTGTGGGGCCGACAGTGCCCCAGCAACAACATAATCTATGGCTGAAGGTGAAATCGTGCAGCCCTGCAAGGAATCGAACTCCCTGCCTCCCTGATTTTGGGGTGCATCACCCGAGAACCACCACTGCCAAGTCACTGCAACTTGGCAGCTCCCACATTGAGTGTCTGCCCCCTGGTGGTCAGTGCACATCATAGCAACTGGTCGGATGGAGGGAGGAACACTTAGCATATTAGCCTTTTATATATATAGATGGCTTATCAGCATCTTTTGATCTTTACCCATGTCATCCTATTTTTGCCTTCTTATTTTATTTCTCAAGTATCTCATTGGGTCCTCAATTAATGCTTTATGCTTTAATCCAAAGCCATGTTTTGTTTAATATCCAAGCCTCTCTTGTAGTATGTGGCTATTAATATTAATGAGTTTCTTAGGACCACAGCTGAAAGAAACTATAATTTGATTGCTCTGAAATTACAACTATTTTAAGCATTTAAAAATATATATATATTTTATTGATTTTTTTACAGAGAGGAAGGGAGAGGGATAGAGAGCCAGATACATCCATGAGAGAGAAACATTGACTAGCTGCCTCCTGCACACCTCCTATTGGGGATGTGCCTGCAACCAGGGTACATGCCCTTGACCAGAATCAAACCTGGGACCCTTCAGTCTGCAGTCTGACGCTCTATCCATGGAGTCAAACCAGTTAGGGCTGAAATTACAACTATTTTAGCTACATGACAAAACGCAACCTGAGATACGTGAATAAAAAAAAATTTAAAAAAGAGTAGTATAGTATTGGATTAAGGAACCAAACCATAGAAAACGCTGGGATTGAACTGAACGTGCCTCAGAGATGGTCGAATCTAAGGATTCAAAAGCTTCTCTCTCTCTCTCTCTCTCTCTCTTCTCTCTCTCTCTCTTTTTTTTCTCTCTCTCTCAGAATTAAACAGCTATTTAAGCAGCAATTGAGTTTGAGATAGCAGAGGTTACACATGTGGCAAACCATAGGCAAGTCTGAGGAGACAAAAAAGAGGTCAGCTTTTATGAGTTTTAGGAGAAAATTAGGACAAGGATGTGGGGTGTCTTATGGTTGGCTAGTAGTCAGCTGACTGCTATTGCTCCGGAAGGAAGCTAAGCTGCTGGTCACTAAGGAGGCAAACAGGGAGGGGATCTTTTTTTCCACTCTTGATTGTATAAGCTATAGGTGCTGGTTACATAAATGTTGTAGGGTAAGTGCATGAGAGCTCTCCCTTCATGGCTTCCTAAATCCATTTTTAAAATATATATATTTTATTGATTATTTACAGAGAGGAAGAGAGTGGGATAGAGAGTTAGAAACATCGATGAGAGAGAATCATCAATTAGCTGCCTCTTGCACACCCCCTACTGGGGATATGCCCACAACCAAGGTACATGCCCTTGACCAGAATTGAAACCAGGACCCTCCAGTCCGCAGGCTGACACTCTATCCACTGAGCCAAACTGGTTTCGGCCCTAAATACATTTTTAATGAGGGTTCCATTTTCACATTTCCTCCCTTTGATCAAGATCTTTCTTAGAAAGCATTGGTGATCAAGAGTCAGGTTTGTTTGTATTTAGTGCTAAGTGTCTGTATTGGTGCTAGGAAAGACCTTTCTGGTTGTCATGTCCATGTCAGAAGAAAAGAACAGAGTGATTGGAAACCATTTAAGGCCACATTTGAATAACAAAGAAGGTAGAAAAGGGAACTCTTAGGCATTTCCCACTCAATGTTTACATCTTGCAAGTATCAGAGATCATCTTGAAGTATTGTGCTAACATCATCCTATTCAGTGTATTGCTTCTACAGAGATTTGAATGCAAACAGGCACAGAGTTTAAAAATGATTACACACAGTTTAAAAATGATTACACAGAGTTTAAAAATGATTACACACAGTGTGGTTCAGTGGTTGATCATCGACCTATGAACCAGGAGGTCATGGTTTGATTTCTAGCCTGGGCACATGTGGGCTCAATCCCTAGTGTGGGGCTTGCAGGAGGGATTGATTGATCTCATCATTGATGCTTTTATCTTTTTCTCTCTGTCTCCCTACCTTTCTGAAATCAATTATATATACATACATATATATATATATATATATATATATATATATATATAATTATTACATACACACACAAAATGAGGAACAGAATAATAAATCCCATTTGTAAAATGGTTTTAATCCCTTAAACCAGAAGCCCAAACCTAAAGGTAACCAGCTAAATAGATTGAAAGACCAGGAGTCATCAGGTAAAGATTGTTGCAACCAATTGGTTTATTGTCTAATTTTATGTAGTTAAGTTTCTACCTTCCCAGAGGAATTTATCCAAGCACAACAGGTAGTTTTTGCTATTGCACATACACTTCCTAAGTAAATAATCAAAAACTATTTTATGGTGTAAAACTAGTTTGACTAAATAATCAGCAGCTATTTCCTTGGTGGTGGAATTTGGCAAGTTTTCCCAGTATCAGAGAGAGACTTATGATCACAGATTCACTGGCATGTACACCATCAAGAGGGAAGAGTACTCTCCCTGAGGAGAGAAGTCTGAATACCTCTTGAAAGTTTCCACTTGTGGCTGTGAAGGTCTGGTGGAGAGGACCAAGGGGAGATGAATGGGAGACTTAAGATTTATTATGGATGCCAATACGAATAATCAAGTTCTCAGTGAGCATTGGCCTCTGATTCGCTAACTATCTAGGTATTCATAGGCCCGTTGAGAGTGTCATTTGCCACACACAAACCAGGTAGTGCCCATAAAACTACTGTTATGGATTCATCAAAGCAGGATGTGGGGGACTGTGTGAAGGAGTCTTCCTTTTGAAGTGACATCATGCGGAAATTGGGCAAAATTAGCAGTAGCATTAGGAATGAGATAAGCAAAAAGGAAAAAAAAAAAAGATATGCAGGCTCCATCTAGCGATCTTGGGAGAACTCTCTGTATCAGATGTTGTTTGCTTAAAAAGTCTAGGAAACTTTAGTTTTAGATCATTAGTCAGTATGCAAGTCTATTCAGGTGTTGGAGCTTCCTTCCTGGGTGATATATGAATCTAAAAATCGATTCCTTGGACCTTGGAAGTGAGTCTTTTGGGAGGTGTCTTTTACAATAAACAAAATCTCCAGGTTATAAAGAGTGTTGTTGTTTGAAGTTTTCAACTCCTTGCATACTGACTAATGATCTAAAACTAAAGTCATTGATCGGCTGCCTCCTACACTGAGAAGATTGCTCTACTGAAGCCCCGTTTTTTTCAGTGGATGCTTGCTTTTATTAGTTGTGGATCAAAAGAGGCAGGCATTAGATGTATGGGAGCCCAATAACTATTTCGAAGTTTGAGAGTTTAGTGAGCTCCAAAAGGGGTGGATCTAAGATTTAGAAGGATTAACGGCAATGCCAATGGCCTAGGCATTTGGAGGGTTTCCATAAATTTTGCCAATTGAGTTTTGATAATGTGGTTGGTTCACCAATTAGAAGCATTGGAAGATTGATTAGGGGAATAGAGTTGTCTGGAGCACTGAAGTTTATAACAGTCCATTTGCCAATGGACTGTTTTTGTTTGTTTTTATTTTTTATTTTTTTTATAGTAATGAGAGAGGCAGGTAGGTTTTGTGTAGGGGCTCCAAAGCTGAAGATTAAGAAACTTAGTGTTTTTGTTTGTTTATTTGTTTTTCAACTGATGACAGACAAGTTGGTTTGCTAGATTGATTTTATTGATTTGGTCTTCCAGTCTCCCAAATCAATAAAACTAGAACTCAAATAAAAAGCAGAACATTGTCAGTTCCTGAAAGTCTTTTGTATGCCACAGATTAATTATTGCCTAGGTCTTAGGTAATATTCACTATTCTAACTTCTAATTGCATAGATTACTCTTGACTTTTTTTTAATCTCTTATATAAATTATTCACTATTTTTTGGAGTCTGATTTTCATGTGATAGCGTATTTACTTGATTAATCTTTTTTCATATAGAAAAAAATTATTTATTCTCATTTAAACTAGCATTGATGGGCATTTGTATAGTTTTAGCCTGGGGGCTATTACAAATAGTGCTACTATAAACATTCCAATACATATTTCTTTGGAAGACATTTAGAAACATTTCTGTTAGATATATAATAGGACCAAATTGTTTGTCATATAGAATGTACATGCCTAGCTTTAATATATATTGAGAGAGTGGAGGGCACACAGTGCAATATACAAATCTTGTAATATAGAAAACCACAATGAAATTTATGTCACCCCATAAATTTAATTTAAAAAATAAGTAATAATAATGAGAAATAATATATATTGAGAATTTTAAAAGAATGTTTGAAACATATTTTGTACCATTTAAAAATTTAAGGAAATAAACTTTTTCAAATTTTAAAAACTATCCAGAAATTAATATATTTAATTTCCTATTTTAGTGGTTCA